ACGTTTCAGAAGCGCCGCCCGTTGCTGGCGTTCCGACAGTTTCCTTCACACTCTCTGGAACTGCGTTTCAGAAGCGCCGCCCGTTGCTGGCGTTCCGACAGTTTCCTTCACGCTTTCTGGAACTGCGTTTAAGGAGCGTCACCCGTTGCTGGCGTTCTGACAGGGTAGTGGTTCTCGAAACTCGTTAGCGCGTCACTATCACGCGGAATTACGGAGGGCAGTGACAGCGGCCGCGATGCCAAACGTGGAGCAGGTCAGAGGATTGACTCACTACCCACTTCACGCGTGACTTCGGGCCTTCCCACGTTAAGGAGTGAAATGCCTGCCAGAGGATCGACTCACTGCGAGACATTCACTTCTTACCGCACGAAACGTCACTTACCTTTCCGCGCTCCCGTTGGATAATTGGTATACTATCGCGTATACTACCCTGCCAGCGTGCGTCCCGGGGTGACTTACCTTCCGTGTTTCAGCTCCGTTGTGCTCGCCTTCGCAGCCCTATCCTTCAAGCCCGCCAATCGTTGTGCTCGTCTTCACGGTCCTGAGTCGATCATCCGGCCAACGTTGTGCTCGCCTTCGCAGTCCGATCCTGAATGACTGCTGATCGGCCTGCTTGCTTTCCACCAAGCCGTGTGTTGCTTGCTCGCCCGTTCGCAACATGATGCTTAGGATGGCGTGTGTTGCTAGAAGTGGCGTGATTTTCCCGTTGCAGACCAATACTCGCTGTGTCGCTTGCGTGGCGTGATTTAACTGTTGTGTGGCAACATGTTGCCTTAGGATGGCGTGTGTTGCTAGAAGTGGCGTGATGTAACTGTTGTGTCGCAACATGTTGCTTTAGGATGGCGTGTGTTGCTAAAAGTGGCGTGATTTTCCCGTTGCAGCCCAATACTCGTTGCGTTGATTTTATTTAACAGGGTGCGTCTTCATGTGTTGTGTGGGCTAAATTCCCTCTGGACATTTAGTTCTCACAAAGTTAAGGGAGACATATTAAATAAAAATATATATTTCGTTCCAAAAACAGTATTTTCTCATTTCGAGCGTAGAAACTTTTCAACGAACCGGTATATTAGATGCGAGAATGACTTCCATGGTGACTTGGGGATATGAGTGATTGCGCCCATTTTTCAAAATCTTGAGAAACCTCGACAAATTCTTAGATTTCTGGTAAAACCTTCTCTCTGGAAAACCTTTTCGGATATATTTTAACATATTTAGTTTTTATTTAGGTACACTATAAGAATGCACTGAACAGAAAAGGTCTGCGTACAAGGTACCAACAGAAATAAATTGTTTGAAAAAATAACTTTATATACTTTTTTATAAAAACCAATTTATTTGACATTCATTAAAGGACAATAAATATGTAGTTTCATGAAAATAACAGTGTTTAAAAAACCGACAGTAACATATAAACAAAACAAAACGAATAGAAAATCCATTAGAAAAAGTCTGCGTACAAGGTACATAAGTCGAATAAAGTTATTCTTCCTACGAATTCTTCTTAAAATTTAATAGGTAGTCGGATATCCCCAACGTTTTAAAACTTCCGCTAATGGTTTTGGCAGGGAATATATAAGCTTATAGGTTTCTAGCAAAGGAATGTAAGCCCATTCCTCGTGCAGCACATCCTTGAGCATATCCTTGAGGAATACCAGTGAATCTCACAGGGGCTATTTAGGATTAAAACCTGGTGATTCTGGTGGTGTTTCAAGCTGCTCGGGAACGTTGTAGAGTAACTAGATGCTTAACTATGTCTGCTGTACGGTTCGGGTCGTTATCCTGTGCCCGTGCCCGTTTTTGCCATGAAAGCCTACGCCCCTTCAACCGTCTCCCGGTACCAAGAAACATGTCTACCAAGTTTCATACAGATATCTAAATTTTTACTTAAGTTAGAGCTTGCACGGACGGACGGACAGACGGACGGACAGACAGTCACCCGGATTTCAACTCGTCTCTCCATCCTGATCATTTATATAATATATGCATAACCCTATATCTAACTCGATTAGTTTTAGGTGATACAAACAACCGTTAGGTGAACAAAACTATTATACTCTGTAGCAACAGGTTGCGAGAGTATAATAACAAACTGAATAGAACAAGAATCTTTTAAAATTGCTACTTTTACGAAAACAAGTAAAACTATAACTTTCAGACACTTTAACATTTGGTTAATACTTAGGGAATTCCCTTTTTACTATTTGTATTGCTTTAAATGCTATGAGATTATGCAATAGACTAGTAATGAAGTATTTAATATGATTTTACTCAAAATTTTTTTATGTATATAAAAGTTATTTTTTTACAAAAGAGAAAAGACGCAGAGAAAAGTACGCAGACTTTTTCTGGCGAGTGTATGTCCAATAGCTCTTAATGACATTGACATACAAATTTGTGCTATAAAAATAAGCTTTAGCAGTACATCAGTAATACAGGTATTTCTCGAATGTAAAAAGCTTACCAAAGTATGCGTTTTGAAATCCAAATGTATGAAATGCCTACAATTAGAGATAAAAGTAAACATCCGCAAATGCATATAATAATTAGAGTCAGTTGAAAAATAGAGTCAGTTGCAAACTCTAAAAGTGCTACATCGTTATAACCAGATCTCGTAAAAAATCGAAACACTAAGTAGTATTCAGTAGCTGGCTTTAAAGGACCATTGCAATATATCTGTTCAGTTGTGCATTCACTGAAATTAGAGCACATATTTGGTAAGGTTTCGGCACAAATTCTATTTCCAATTGTATACGTTATGTAAGTTTCATTGGAATGTAGTCCTGATAGCGGGTTCCAACGAACTTCTGTAACTTGATATTGATTTACACAATTTTCTTTATTATTAGCATAGGCATCATTCCATGACATAACATACGGCCAATTTTCGTGCGAGTTTAAAGAATCGAATTGAAGTTTTGGGGCAGGATTACATCCCTGAAAATATAAAATAAAGATTTTAGAAGCTGTCCAAGTTGTTTATATCATAAACATTTAAATACAGAGTTAGCTATGTACCAACTTTGGCAAAAAATATAAAAATATATATCATATTAAAACAAAGCCTTTAAAAGCGTATCCAGTTGTTATTATCCATCATATATGGTATATTATAAATACTGCACCAACTATATATGTATGTATTTACAAACTTAAGCTAAAAAAAATTATAAATAAATTTGTATAGAAAGACACAATTAAAACCCATAAGTGGCTAATATTTTGTTTAAAATAAGAGCAATCTCCTAAAAATTTGCTTAACTGTAAAAATCAACAAAATGCAGTAACAATTATGCGCATTTGGGAGATGGAAGGGTGTTCTTCTAAAATACATGCATATATAAGAATTTAAAAATAAAAATTAAGTTTAAAAAATTTTATCAACAGTGAACTGAAACTGAAGAAACCACTGTAAGAGTGCAAGTTTTGGTTCTTCGAGCGGAGGAGAAAATAAAAATGCCGACGATGTTATTTCTGTGACATTATATTTTATTCTCTTCCTTTTTATACTCTCGCAACCTGTTGCTACAGAGTATAATAGTTTTGTTCACCTAACGGTTGTTTGTATCACCTAAAACTAATCGAGTTAGATATAGGGTTATATATATATAAATGATCAGGATGAAGAGACGAGTTGAAATCCGGGTGACTGTCTGTCCGTCCGTCCGTCTGTCCGTCCGTGCAAGCTCTAACTTAAGTAAAAATTTAGATATCTTTATGAAACTTAGTAGGTATGTTTCTTGGTACCGTGAGACGGTTGGTATTGCAGATGGGCGTAATCGGACCACTGCCACGCCCACAAAACGCCATTAATCAAAAACAAATAAATTGCCATAACTAAGCTCCGCAATAAGATACAAGACTGTTATTTGGTACACAGGATCACATTAGGGAGGGGCATCTGCAGTTAAATTTTTTTTTTAAGTGGGCGTGGTCCCGCCTCTAATAGGTTTAATGTGCATACCTCCTAAACCGCTAATGCTATAATAACAAAATTCACTGGAAGCAAATGTTTTTAGCATTTCTATTGATGGTGTGAAAATAGTTGAAATCAGGTGGCAACTCCGCGTACTGTTAACAACTACTAAAAGCGCGATAAATCATTAAACTTTAAATTTTATCTCTGGGATGGTATGAGATGACTTTATAGGAACCGCGTTCAAAATTAGACAGTGGGCGTGGCACAGCCCACTTTTAGGTGAAAAGCCATATCTTGGGATCTGCTTAACCGATTTCAACCAAATTCGGTGCATAACGTTATTTTCATATTTCTATGTTATAGTGCGAAAATGGGTGAAATCGGACAACAACCACGCCTATTTCCCATATAACACCATTTTCAATTCCATCTGATTCTTTCACTTTCCACTATGCATATCAAGCAACAATGATTATATTGGGGTAAAACTTTGCGTGAATAATACGTTTAAAGTATGCCACCTTGTGACCAAAAATTGTCTAAATCGAATTTCTTCTTTTATTTTGTCCAATTTACAATATTTTGTTATGTGGTGTCTGGTTGGGATGATAGTGTACACATAACTCCTACCTCCCTTAATTGAAAACTCTCCTGAGTTTGAATAGTATTGCTTTTCTTTTTTTTAATTTTACAAGATATTAAAATGATTATTATAATCACAATAAAACTTAAAATTAATATTCCAATATGAGAGATATTTTTGTGATATTTTAATTCATTAATTTCTTTTAAATTTTCTTCGTTTTTAAATACAAGGTCGTTAATTGTAATTTTGTTAGTGAAGTTGTGAGTATCATAGTTTGGATAATAAAATCTTTGATTGTATGATATTTTAATATTTGTCGGGGGAATATTATCCAATGGCAATTTTCTATACCTTGGTTCGTATTTGTGCCGAACCGCTTTATAATTTTTTACGTAACCTTCATTTTGAGTGTTATTGAACTCTTCTCTATTTCTATTTAGTTTTCCTATGCATTTTTCTTTAGTCTTCTGAATAGTGTCTTTAATCAAATTTTTATCAGTTTTTCCATTTATAACCTCAAGAGGTGTGGTTTTAATTGTAGAATGATAAGATTTGTTATACCATTCTATGCTTTGAAATACTTTTTCCGCTGTCGAAAGGATTGGTTTTTCAATTTCTAGGACTCTAATTCTTTCGGAGATAGTATTATGAAATCTTTCGATATCTGAATTCCCAGTATGACTGTTTGGTTTTGTAAAATAAAATTCTATTTCTTCTTTCCTAAAAAAATCTTTTATGTTAATTGAGTTGAATTCATTATCTAATATTAACTTTCTGGGTCTTCCTTTAATAGAAAAGAATAATCTAAGCTTTTCTATAATAGTTAACCTGTTTCTATCTTTCGTTTCGTTGTTTCTAAATATCGCAAATTTGTCTATAAAAGTAAGGAAGTAACATTTTTTATTTATGTATATATCTGCGTGAACTATTTCATTTATATCTGATGGTGTTTTCGTTAATTGAAATTTTGGTTTTAAAGGTTTTCTATAATTTTTTGCTCTATTGCAAACATCGCAATTATTTATATATTTTTGAATCAAAACTTTCAAATTTTTCCAGTATATTAGTTTTTTCAATTTTTCATAATTTTCATTAATACCTGCATGGCCTGTTTCATTTTTATGATATTGAGCAATTTGTTTATAAACTTGTTCTTCATTTTTCATATCTTTAGCATGGAATTCACATCTAAAAAACTTTACCTGTCTATTAAATATTTGAATAAGCTTTTGCTGAACTATATTGTACTGATTATCGGTTAAATAAGAAAAAATACCTAATTTTCCACTATTTATGTGCCTACGACAAAGATCTATGAAATTATTAGTTTTTATATCTTCTGCGCTAATAAAAATTTTCTTCGTGTTGCCTAGTTCTTCAGATTCCATAATTTTCTTTTTTGTTAAAATGATTTGTGTATTGAAGCGATTTACAATAGTATGTAAAATTGGAAAATGATCATTTAGTTCCTCTTCTTGAGAGTGGATTGTAGCATTTGTGCTTATGTTGTCTTCTTCCAATGAATGAATCTCGCCTGTGTTACTATCTATTCTACTAAGAAAATCGGTTACGTTATTTTCCTTTCCTTTCACGTAATTTATATTAATATTGTATTCACCTAGTTTAATTAACCATCTTTGCAATCTTGGGTTAATGTCTTTTCCCTTGTTTTTTATTTGGAGCCACTTAAGTGGTTGGTGATCGGTTAAGAGATCAAATGCTCTGCCGTAAATGTATGGTCTATAATATGTCACTGCCCAGACAATAGCTAGTAGTTCTTTTTCTGTAGTGGAATAACTTCTTTCGTGTTTGTTAAGTGTTCGACTAGCATAGCTTATAGGATGACTGTCCTGGGTTAATACTGCGCCAATTGCAAAGTCACTTGCATCAGTTGAAATGCCAAATTTTTTCTGGATATTTCAATACTGGTGGCCTACTAATTGATTTTTAAGTTTTTCAAAGGAAGATATGTACTAAGGATCGCGAGTGTTTATTTTAATATCCTTTTTTAAATATTTTGTTAAACCATGTGCTACTTTAGCGTAATCTCTTACAAATTTTCTATAATAACCTGTTATACCTAGGAATGATTTAATTTGCTTTGATGTAGTAGGCAACTTTACTTTTTGTATGTTTTTGATTTTGCTTAAATTTGGTTGTATCCCTTCTGTTGTTAAAGTGTGACCTAGAAATTCAGTTGTTTTCGCGAAAAATTTGCATTTATCTATCTGAATCTTTAAATTATGTTTTCTTAATGCTGAAAATATTTTGTTGATATTTTGGGTATGTTCTTCAATACTTGAACTAAAAATTAAGATGTCGTCTAAGTAAACTACAGATATCTTGTTGATATATTCCCTAAGAACTGAATTCATTAAACGTTGGAAAGTTGCTGGTGCATTCTTTAGTCCGAAAGGCATTCTTATAGATTCAAAGTGTCCTTGGGGTGTAGAGAAAGCTGTTTTTGGTCTATCTTCTTTTATTAATACTTGATGAAAGCCTTTTGCAAGATCTAATGTTGTAAAATACTGAGCTCTTCCAAGTTTGCTGAGTATTGTTTCTATATGGGGTATTGGAAATGTGTCATCTATAGTGACTTCGTTTAGCTTCCTGTAGTCAATAACTATTCTCCATTTTTTCTTAATCGAATTGTCTTGCTTTTTCGGTACATTCCAAAGAGGCGAGTTGTACGGGGAATTACTTTCTTTAATTATACCTTGGCGCAATATCTCGTTCATCTGTCTACTAATTTCTTCTTCATGAATTTGGGGATATCTATAAATTGTATTATAAGTTGGTCTACTTGTTTCTGTAACAATTTCATGCTGAATTTCATGATTATGAGAAAGGTTTTTACCTTCTTGGAAAAATAAATCGCTATTTGCTTTTAGAATGTATTCTAATTTTTGCTTTTCTTCTTCATTCATGTCACTATTTGATAAAATATCTAGCAAATTCTCTTTACATTCTGTAAGTATATTAATATCTTCGTAATTGTAAGGGCATGAGTTTATAAATTTAATTTTGTTGCCGTTTATTTCTACATACTCCTTTTTTAAATTAATTATTGCTTTAATAGGTTTTAAAATATTCTGTCCTAATATAACATCAAAGTTATTATTTTTTATGTTGGTTAGTTTCCAATGTATATAACTTTTTTCATTGAATTCGTTTGGGGTTGGGGTGACTAACTCTTTATTTAGGGTAACATTTTCTTTAATGGTGCTAAAGTGTATTGGTTTATCAAGCTCAATGCCTCTCTAATGGTGCTTATATTTCTACTAATCACTACACTGCTTAAGTTGGGGTGTATCCCATTTAAAAATGTTTTTAGAATTAAACTTTCGTTGTTAATTGGAGAAAATTCTATAGGCTTTATCCTATCGAACTCATGTTTTAAGTTTAGTACAATCGCCTGATTATAAAGGGTGT